AAAATAAGAAGTACTATTCTCTATAACTAACAAGTAAAATAAATTAAATCTTTAAGTCGTATATTAAAATACTTATTCAATTTTGAAATGTGTATGAATATTTATAGGCGTCGCTGTATGTATTAGATAGCATTAATGTATAAGTACTTACCATCGATTTCTTCCTCTTGCAACAAACTTGATGTTTGTATACCGGTTGCCTGGAATCGTAGATAGCCAAGATGACGCGCTAAAATTTTGCCACCAGGTATATCCTGCCAGTAGTCTGACGACAGATTCAATAATTCTTTGCCGGTCGATGGAAAGATCACACTTGATATTGGTTCTATGGAAAATGTTCGGCTGCACCAAGAAATCCATGATTTGATATGATTTGAATTCCATTCTGATGGATCTGAGTAAATAACAATTCTCTTCATAACAGTCACTAATATGTATACATACATATTTGAAAATGTATTTAATGCAATTTTATAATTCATAATGTAGGTAGCAAAAGGAATTAAAAAATCATCTTTCAAGAATATATTTACCAGATGGGACCATCACTTGTTCCGAATCCATATCATGTCCATCAATCATATCTTTTTTTAAATTATTCGATCGATTTCCACGTTCACATTGATTTTAGATTGAAAACGTTAACTCCACACGTTATATTTTCCTTTGATTTCACGCATTTTCTCCTATTCACTATTTACTTGTCAATGATAACAAAAACTAATTTCACATACAAACTGAATCTGGAAGACGCACGATCCTCGTTCCACGGACGGTTTTCTTGTTCACGAATAAGACTGGATATTCACAAGTGATTGATGATATATTGATATTTCTAATGAAATCTAAATTAATAGTATTTGACACTACGTTGATAGATGAATACACGAAATAATGAGTAAATTTGATTATACAAGTTGCACATGCAGAAATCCGAAGTTTTTTTTCAAATAGCAATACGATACATAATATAATGTATGATGAAGATTTATCTTCTTACACAAACTTGCAAATAGTCCTTAGGTATTACTTCTAATATTCCATTTTTATTATTTTATATTCTCAAATTATTTTCTTTAGATTTAGATTTAATCGTTCCAAAATGCTCTTACGTAACGAAATAATGTAACGTCATACTGTTCCTTTACGATCGGTGTGACTCGCGCGTACCGGTTGATTCATGCATTTCTCTGAAATGAGCCACCTGCGTCACCGGGTCTCGCCGATTTCCCCATCCTTGCTGACCACGTGTCGTGACATTCTCAAACGAGAAACCGGGTAAAATAGGTTGTCTTCCGATCAACGTTATCTTTCTTGAATAGCCTTCCCCAAAACATGCAGCTGATAATTTGAATCAAAAGTGCCTTGTTACACCAGTTTATAAAAGTTTTGAAATCGGAAATTCATTCCTTAGCAATAAAGTGCAACACGTATACAGTGAGAAGAATTATGTGTAACACTACAAAGATACTACAAATATTATTCTAATTTCTATTCACATCACAATTTGTACTCACTGGTTTAAGATTGCATATAAAATTATAAACAAAACGACAGAAATTGTGATGCGAACAAAAATTTGGACATTTACTATAACACTTAATGTAATAGTCGTAACGTCTTGAAATGTGTACATACTCTCTTTACGCGTTCCCTATCAATAAAGATCGGTCAAAGCAAATTTGTTTTTTTGCTATAAATTAGTACTTGCAGCATGTAGACGATGTAGGATCGGCGATTTTGCAGGCTGTATCGTCACGTTTCAAAGAAACACTGTTAGTGAATGGAGCTGATGTTGGAGGTCCGATTGGCGGAGTACGGATTCCCAGAATCGAAGAGACCGGTCGGTTTCGGGGCGTACATCGCCAACCGCTGAATCATACTCAATCGGCCATCTTTACCTATTTTTTCTTCTCCTTTTTATCCTTATTTCAGGGATCCGATGAGCCAGTCTGATCGTATACGGTATAACTTCGCACAAGCTGACTATAGCATCTTCTTTCGATTATAATGGAGTTGAGGTTTGCCATTCTATTTGCACTGGTAATTGTTGAACACATATGTTCAATTACACAGTGTAACAAAAAAGTTTTCATTTTTTGCAATATCGACTGTGTGATTCTTATACAGTTCCTCATACCAAAAACAAATCCAGAAACAGAATTGCTATATCGCGTATCGTTTCTGGATAATAGCGGTTTTTGTACAAATGCATAATTTTAAATGTCTGTAGAATCTAATATTATGTAGCAAATTCCTGCTGGGTAAAAAATTTTCATATAAATACAATGATGGTACGTATAAAATATTTATGCCAGCTCATTTTCAAACTTCAATAATTATTTTCATCTATTAAGAAGTAGGAAAACATGAAGTGGTTTTACATGGATATAATAAGTAATGCAAATGTGTATTGTGGGAAGTCTCCTGTATTCCCCAGTAATAATTTGACAAGTAATCGTCCAGTAAACAACCATTTTTTACTAACCAATAGTAAGAAATTGGCTAGTTTTTACACTATTTTTTGGATCAAATGGTAGAAAATTTTTTCGCGAAAAACTGGTCGCAAAAAAGAACAGTTCCTGGGCAGTGATAGTTGGCCGTATTAAAAACTTTTTATAGATATAATCATATACTCAATACCCCTATTGCGCGTATCCTCTACTTCAATCTTTATTCGCGTCATTACTAATTTTCCTAGAAGAGATGATATATGTTCATCGCAGATCAACATTGCATGTTGTACATATATCTGTTATGTGTATATATCTTTAGAGTTCATCTTTTATTATCTTGAATCATCAGAATTATATTCCAAGCTCTGAATCAAAATTAAAAACTATGCAGCTTATCATTTTTATACAATTAATTGCATAACTTTAGAACTATGAATCTTATGAGCAAAATAAAGTAACTTTCATTATGTTTGATTCGAACATCTCCTAACAATTATTATTATCAGTACCGAAGATATACATATTTCTGAGGAGCAACAACGTTATGGGACCTCACGTGAGTGAAAAGCTCAGTAATTCTTTTATCCTCCAAAATGTATTGTAGCCTGAGTAATTCGTCTGACCGTAAGATATTATCCGTGTAGATTTATTAAGATTTTACGAATACGTTGCACGTATTATAAAACAAACTGAGTTCGAAATATTCTTACGGTACTTACATATGTTTAACATGAATAATCAAATTTAAAGTAACCCGGGGTATGTCATAGATGGCATCATTTGTGGTCCATCAAAAAGGCTACACTACCTCCTCCCCCTCGTCTTTTATCACAATCCCCTCATCGACAAGTCTACTTCATGTACCGTCCTTCGCATGGACCTGAATGACAGTACAGGAGACCGCGACTAAAGATGGAAGAGGCAAGCAGGCTCCGATCCGCTATTAAGCTATTTGATGGATCCATTGGTGAAGTATGCTACAGTTGGTTAAGAAGTATGCATACTACCGGCAGCCAGCCGACCGAGATTTTAGTCGCTTGAAAAGCAGGAAGGACGTGAAATTTACTGTGTGAAGTACAGGAAAAGGCATGTAAATTCTGGGTGTCTCAGTGGGACTTGGTGGTTTCTGCGAAATGAATAGCCAAGAGTACCGGGTCAGATCCCCTGCTGTTTTATAAATAACTACCTGTTAGCGCAAGCGACTGTATCGAATGTTTCAAAAAATGACATCTCCATTCTTGCGAGAGCTTTCACACTCAATCCCGACAACTTATTTAGATCTACGAAAAGCATGTTTCAAATTTTGATTTATCGGAGACAATACAAAATCGTGCCCCTTACTTTTTTATTCAAGATTTCGATGAATAGCAATTTTTATAAATCTTTTGTTGCATATCGTATAATAAACTAAGCGTTCTAATGCCTCAAAAAATACTAAATTGTCCAATATCAAAAATGGTACTCAGTTTTGAAATGGATACGAATACTAATGGGAGTATGTATGCATGTATGTTCATACAAACGTTTTATAAGAATCGTCCAAATTTTTTGCGAGTATAAATATATTTTACATCCCTATATGTATTACGAAGTCAAGATCAAGTGTAGTGCAATAAATTTTAAATTTACTCTTGAAAGAAGGGAGTATGCAATTCGTGGCCATCGGTATGGTCAATCGATTATTAGCCAACTCAGGGTTCTCTCTCACCATTCACATAGAGCACCTAAATATAGAGTGACACTGTGGCACTAATTTGTTGAATGAAACGATAGGTGTGTTGGTGCTTGGGGGACTGAACCAGTCATTGTGGGGTAGATCTGTACGGCACAGTAGAAATCTCAGTACTCACCGTTGCGTTGGTGCGCGCGATTTGTGAACGACGCGGGCCGATACACGACAGAATAATTCTAAATCTTTTCCATCCGCAACACGGTTCAAGGCTATATCGGTTCAGTGAAAGTATCGTTTAGTTTTGCACGTACGTACATCCTATCAAATCTATTATACATCGAAAAAAAATAACGTTTTCTCCAGAACGTTGCCGTTGCTAAATTGTCTATACTACTTACTGTCAGTAGTGTTACCTATGTCTGTACAGGATGTCCCAGAACAGATGAACGGAGGAAGTTGTGAAAAAGGGTGAAATTCTGTGTCCGAAGTTCCTCTTACATTCTTTTCATCCGATCATTATTAATAAATTTATTAACGAAAAAATGTTATCAATGTCTTGTCGCACATAATTGTCGTGCAGTACCGTCCACTGATGCTAGATCCCATTCTTGCGTTGACGCTGAAATTTTCTTTTATCCGATCAAATCAAGTAGCTTATTTATTATTTATTTGATAGACTAGTTGACAAATCATAATTTTTAAAAACGTAAAATGTTAAAAAGTAGAAGGCGTAGCAGAGAGTACCTCGCGCTAGTGCACGGTATTACGCGGCAGTTGTGCGCAACACGTCAGTGATGTACTTTTTTCTTTAATAAGTTTGTTAAAAATGGATAAAGAAATGGAAAAGGAAGTTTCGACTCAAAAGTTAAGCCCACCCTAGAGGAAAGTTGTTCATTCTAATTGTACGATGTCTATAAAACTACTTATCATGATCTTCGTAATAAACCATTTCTGAAATGATTCTTTTCTATCTTCAGATGTTTATTATATCCGATTCTGTCGAGAACATCATAGCGACTGATAAAAGATCATGTACTTCTTATTAATTGTTAATAATTAAATGCAAGACTGCTTAGTTCGTCCAAATTTTACTTCTTTAACATTTTTCTTTTTAATTTTCATTAATGCACACTTTCTAAATATAAACTTTCGACACAGACAAAAGAACGCACGTGTTCATTTCTTGTATTTTTTAAAGGAGAATACGTAAGCGATATCAAATTTTAATTTTTATTTTCAATGGTAAAGTGTCTTCATTTTATATATTTACATATTCAATATAAGATTTTGTTAACAATCGGTATTATGTTTGTTTTATTTATTTCGATAACATCAAAAGTTACATTATATTTATTATATCTTTATATTATCACAATCGTTGAAGATGATACTAACATTGAGTGAAAATGTCCTAAAGATTAATTTATCTTCGTTGGTTCAAGTCAGTCACTATACAATTGAGCTTATTACGCAATTGAAGTATAGAAGTTGCAAATTGTTTTATATCGAGGGTGGTATCATTAAAAGGACATTGCACCCATGTTTCGTTAAATGATCATCGTTACGAAAGTTTGTTTACACTTAAAAAATTACACGATTATTAGATTCCATTATTATAATTTACCAAGTGCGGATTACGCACTTATTGAAGTTGGAATGAGCGAATCGCGAATAAATTCCAACTCCTACTTGGTAAGTTGGAAATTTAAGGCGGGACGATTTCATTGTGTCGGGTCTGCCGATCGTGGTTCGTTGTTCCATGTGATGAACTTCGATGACATCGTTTCTTTCACCGATAGTTAATCTAAAATAGGACAAGGTTGCCCGATGGGAACAACGTTTGACAAGCGTGATTCCCGGAAGTGGCTCGTTGTCCGTCATCCATCATCATCAAGACCCTTATACAGAAGTGTCTCACGTAACGACGATGACCGCTGAATATTCAAAGTTCTCCAGAAATGATCGAGTTATCTTTCACTTATCGCTTATTATGCGGTATTATTTAAAGTCAATGATGATTTAAACGGAATAAAAAACGTACATAAATTATGAAGAAAACGTATTTCAGAACGAAGGCCAAGTTTTTAAGCCAAACATTAGCCGCTTATACATACAAGATGAGAAGACAGAAATTCACAAATATTCGTACACGGATTACGTATGTAATCAGTTTTTTAAAGCTGTTTCAAGTGGAATTTTTAATTTTCATGTATCAGATATAAACAGTTTAGGTTTTACACTTAAGTTTTCCGATCGCTCAAAGGAATGTGTACTTATTGTATGATGTATCTGATAACAATTATGACATTTTTTCGAGTTTTCATAACTGTTTCGGATAGAACCGATACAATAATATGGAACAGATATTTTCGGAACCTTTTCAATCCCTAGTGAGAACTCATTTCTTGTTTGCAGATCGAAGTAAGATTTGATAGAATGAGGTGAATTCGATCGACTTCTTCTTTCCATTAGAAAATAATGCCTTCGAGCGGATCTTCTAAAGTGCCCAAGGTAGACAGGTCCACAAGTCCTCTGCCGCACAAGCCTGTAAATCCTGTTCAAGAACTAAAAGCTTTGTTTGCCGAACCACCGTCGAACGTTTCATACGATGCTAAAGAGCCAGACTTCCGCTTTGAGGCGATTCAGTGCCTACAAACCACCGTATTCAAGGAACCTAAAGCACTGCCAGATCGGGGGACATGGAGCAGTAAGGTGATTTGAATTATTACATTAGGTACCTATTACACTATAATAGAAGATTAACATTTAATTTGATTATCCTGTCTCAAGATTGAGTTCATCCTCTCCGTAATAGGACTGGCTATAGGATTAGGAAATTTGTGGCGATTCCCTTATCTCTGTTACAAAAATGGCGGTGGTGCTTTTATGGTGCCTTACTTTATCGCTCTCGCACTAGCCGGAGTACCCATGTTCCTTATGGAATTATCTTTAGGACAGATGATGACCATAGGTGGATTAGGTGTTTTTAAGATAGCTCCGCTTTTCAAAGGTGTATACAATATTCAGAATCGGTTTAATGAAGAGTATTTGTTGTACTATCTTTAAATGTTTTACATAGGCATTGGGTATGCTACTTGTGTCATATCCTGTTGGACGAACGTATACTATATCATTATTCTGGCATGGGCACTTTTTTATTTTTTGGTTTCCTTAAGATTTGGTACGAAATATGATAATATTAATCTTCTTCTTGTCACCTGAATGATCAATTGTTGTTAGCTTGATATATTTAAATGCAGACGTACCATGGAGAACCTGCGGTAACTCTTGGAATACGCGTTACTGTCTTACACCTACAGAACGTTTGGAAGCATTGTGTTGGCCCGAAAATAACGATACGATATGTTCTACTTCGATCGGTAATTTGAGTCACAGTTTATTGAACGATCCAGTGAAAGAATTTTGGGAGTAAGTTTGTATTCTCCATGAAATTTTCGACATTTTTCATTTTGTAATCAAAATTACATGCATATTGTTTTGGCTTCAAAAAGGAGGCGCACTCTTCACATTTCTCACGGTATAGAAGACGTTGGTTCAATAAGATGGGAATTAGCGGGTACATTGGCTATCGTATGGATTATGTGTTATTTCTGTATTTGGAAAGGTGTGAAATGGACTGGAAAGGTAAGTTCCAATTGCATAAATGAACTTGGTTTATTATTGACTCTTAATTCTTCTACAGGTTGTTTATTTTACATCGTTATTTCCATACGCGTTACTTGCGATCTTACTAGTACGAGGATTGACGCTTCCAGGAGCAATGGAAGGATTAAAATATTATGCAACACCGAATTTATCGAAACTCAGTGATCCCGAGGTATTAAAGTATACATAGATATTTCCTATTGGTCTATGATGTAATGCTTCGTTATATGTATCTGGATATTTTAACAAGTTCCCATTTATAGGTGTGGATAGATGCTGTCACCCAAATATTTTTTTCTTATGCACTGGGTTTAGGTGCATTGGTTGCGCTTGGAAGTTACAATAAATTCAATAATAACGTTTATAAGTAAATGGAAAAGTCATTTTTTATTTAAGTGCAACGTGTACGTAATGAAATTTATCAATCTTTATTTCAGAGACGCACTTATCGTGTGTACAGTAAATTCTTGTACAAGCATGCTCAGCGGCGTCGTTATATTTTCTGTAGTTGGTTTTATGGCTCACGAACAACAAAAACCTGTGGCGGACGTAGCAGCTTCTGGTAATTATGATATTTAACATAAGACATAAGAATGATATTTATCGACTTTTTTTGCAATATTTTATTATTACAAAATATTTTATGTAGGTCCGGGTTTAGCTTTCTTGGTTTATCCTTCCGCAGTTCTGGAATTGCCAGGATCATCTATTTGGGCTTGTTTATTCTTTTTCATGCTTATTCTTATTGGTTTAGATAGCCAGGTAAGTAAAGATAGTCCAACAAGGCGGAAATAATGATCGAACAATTATTATTGTTTCACAGTTTTGCACGGTCGAAGGTTTTATAACAGCCGCGGTAGATGAATGGCCGCGTTTACTCAGAAAACGAAAAGAAATATTTATAGCAATCGTGTGTTTCATCTCATATCTGATCGGCCTTACTTGTGTTACTGAAGTAAGTTGTTGAACAAACATAATATTAATTTTTATTAACGTAATAGAGGTGAATTGTAGAAACATTCTCTGATTATTTTTAGGGAGGAATGTATGTATTCCAGTTGTTAGACTCGTATGCTATAAGCGGATTTTGTCTTCTGTTTTTAATATTTTTTGAGTGCATTTCTGTCTCATGGGCGTACGGTGTAAATCGTTTCTATGATGGACTTCGCGACATGATCGGTTATTATCCATGTTGTTGGTGGAAAATATGTTGGACATTTACTACTCCTGCCATTTGTATAGTAAGTTAAAAGTCTATAGCATAAGCAGTCCATAGTTGAAACGTTATGTGATTAACATAAATCTTGAAATTAGGGTGTTTTTTCTTTTAACATAATTAAATTCGTGCCCGTAAAATATCTCGCGTATGAGTATCCATGGTGGAGTCATATGTTGGGATGTTTCTTTGGTCTTTCCTCAATGTTGTGTATTCCAGGATATATGATTTATATTTGGGTTGTCACACCCGGAACTACCTCCGAGGTATGTTGTATGGCTTCAAAGTGTATTGGGAAATTTTACATTCGCCAGTTTGGCTAGATTTAGTAAGAGATTCTTTTTTCAGAAATTCCGAAAGTTAATAAAAATAGAAGATGATGTTGCTACTTTGCGGATGAAATTAAATCCAACAAAAGCTGCCGCTATCAGCGCAGATCTCGAACTATAACAGCGTTATTGTTCGTTGGGCTAAATAAAAATACAAACGATGCTTGTGTGTTCTTTACAAATGTATGACTGAGCAGAAGCGCGAGTTCATATGTTGAATATCATATCGCATACTCATGTAATCATTTATCACAAGAAATAAACATCTAGTACATGTATACACTAAAGCATTTTGTTAATAATAAGATACAAAGTCTGTCTTAGAAAAAAAGCAAATGCACATCAAAATACAATTAAGAAAAAATATCTTCGTTTATTAGAATTTACTATTGTATACATATATATTCAATTCTCTTACTTAAAATTTTGCATTTTTCAATGGACTATTCAAATGTATAACTTAAAATACAAAAATAATAGAATTATATGCCTAAGGTATATCAAATTATATACATAATTCCATGTGAAAGAATCAATTAAAATACTTTAAATCATTTTTCTCTATTTTGTATTTCTTTAATTCGACCAATAAGTTGCTCTTTCCATTGTTCTTCCGATATAGTGTTAGCCCACTCTGGAATTGCTGTAACCGGTAAAGTGAATGTTGCCATCATAGATTTCACTTGATCAATCTTGTCTGCATCCATATCTATGTTTGACCTATTATGAGACGATGACCAAACTTCTATAGTTTCTGACAGAGAATTCTGTAAAAAAAACGAAATATTATTAAAATGTGAATAGAATAACTCTTCATCTTGAGCACTAAAGGATATGTACTTGCTGCGATTCCAATGATGAAGCCCTTAATACCTGGCTAGGTTCGCCAGTATTAGACCAGGCCCATTCGACATCCTAATTATCAATAAAACATATAAGTATTTACTATGAATACATAAAACATTAAGTATATCGAACTGCAGTTGCTTACGCATGCATTACCATAATAAGCATACATACCTCATCTTCATATAATATTGGATCACTATCTGCAGGAACTTGTGACAAAGGCAAATATCCTGCTATTCCTATATCATCATCTTCGCTATCTGATTCATTTGTCCCTCTAGCATCAAAAGGTAAATTCGGTACACTTAACGTTTCTTCAACAGGTTCTTGTGTAGGATCAGGAGACATTGTGCACCACTCTTTACCTAGAGTTACAAATAACAGATAAATACAAAAATTTACCTTTATATTCAAATCACACATGGTATCATTCATAAATAAAAGTTCACAACCTCACTTTCGCGTACATATTTCACGTCGAACGATTCATATAAAAATTGATAGAACTACTTCCATGCAAAACAAGAGAAAGAAAAATTATGTAATTAGATGTCTTATTACAATATTTTCAAATTAAATTGAAAAAAGTGTACATATTTACAGATCGATGTTAATGTAGAGTTTGACAGTTCACAGCTGATTTCGGAGACCACGAGCGACTGCGCACCTGTTTCTTGCTCACGCCCTGGATTTCGTGTTTCCCATTACAAGTGCTGCATCAAGCAGCCTGAAGAATTCAATACTGGAAATCACTGGAACGATTACTGGCTGGCTGGTAATCATGACAGGAATGTTACTTGTTCATTGTTAAGGATGTATTGGCTATACAGTCAATCCCAAAAGTTTATGTACTTTAAAAAAACGCATTTCCTTTAATTAAAAAGAAATCAGCCGTCGGAAGAATAATGCTAATAATAAATAGCTACGTGCTAAAAGGTATAGAAGGAAATATCCAATTAAGTATTGACGCTAACGAAAAATTCTTTTTTCAAAATTGCGAGAAATGCTTCAAATAAAAGTTGTTTTCCTTCTAACTTTGATATTTAACGAGTTACGTATGATTATTTGGCATTTTATTGATGTTGACCACGCTATAGGCGGAAAAATCCGCAAATCTTACATCAGGACCTTTAGTTTCACTTTTCTTCACCGCATGCGCTGCGATCGAAATTCTGCAAATCTTACTTCACTGCTCCTCCCTCGGTGGTAGTATACAGGGTGTCCCAGAATCCTGCAGAATCCTTTGGGCCTTTGGGAGTGTAAAAGAGAATGAAATTGTGACTCAAAAATTCTTTTTTCACTTTTTCCTCCATGTTATTAACAAAGTTATTAACGAAGAAATGGACCAATGGTGAGTGATTCAAACTCAACGACCGAAGATTGAAGTTCTTACGTGTCACGTGATTCGTTCTCGAATAACTTTATTATTAGGTGTTTAAATTCGAGCCGGATTGGTTACACAGTGTTACATGTCGAAGTGTCACTTCCGTTTCGCGCCAAATACCGGTAACGGCACAAAGTAAGAAAACAGTGTTAAGTTCAGAAGAGGAGAATTGTATGGTAAAAGCGAATTTAATACAAATCTCATATTAATACAAAAATGGTCGGAAAAGGAAAAATGTATGTGATAAAGCGTGGTATGTAATCAGTTTTATTATTCTACTATTATCTTAAATTAAATATATTCCACCCCAAGTGCATAATTTTCCCAATAAACATTAAATTATTTCTTGTGATTATCAGATGGGCGCAAAGAAGATGTACACTTTGATAAAATAACATCCAGAATACAAAAATTATGTTACAACTTAGATATGGATTATGTAGATCCAGTAAGTTTGTATATTTATTCGTAAATTACATATTATTGCACAAGGATTGCTTATATTTGTATTTTATTAGTAACGTTTATATTTTGCTATATAAAATACTGGTTCTTATTTATTGCTATACCTCATAAAAACATAAGTATACATATTACAAATATCTTTGATAATGTTACACAATGAGAACCAGTTTTTCCACATCCATTTAATGATAGATATGTAGCTGTTATAGGATTTCATTATCAGAACTGATGCTTTGACATTATTATATGTTTTCATTGATATTTCTTTGTTTCTATAGCCTGCAATTACTTTCCGTGTCATTAATGGTTTATATTCGGGTGTTACCACAGTTGAATTAGATAATCTTGCAGCTGAAACTGCAGCTACTATGACTACAAAGCACCCAGATTATGCTGTATTAGCTGCAAGAATTGCAGTCTCTAATCTTCATAAAGAAACAAAAAAGAGTTTCAGTGGTATGACAATACTTATCCATACTGAATTAATATTTCTACATTTTTGAGTAATTGAATATGTTATTTTATTAATCATACTCTATTTCATTTCTAGACGTTATACATGATTTATATAATGTTGAGGAACAATACACAGGCAAACCAAGACCAGTCATTAGCGAGGAATATTACAATATCATACAAAAGAACGCAAATAAATTAAATTCTGCAATAATTTATGATAGAGATTTCAGTTATAATTATTTTGGTTTCAAAACTCTTGAGAGAAGTTATCTATTAAAAATAAAGGGAAAAGTTGTCGAAAGGCCTCAACATATGTTAATGAGAGTTGCAGTTGCCATCCACCGTGAAGACATTGATAAAGTCATAGAAACTTATAACTTTTTATCAGAACGTTACTTTACACATGCATCCCCAACACTTTTCTCTGCATGCACTATGCAACAGCAAATGTCTAGGTATATTTTCCAAATTTAAAACAAGATCACCTTGTTCTTTAATATAACAATTGCAATCTGCTCCTTTTCAGTTGTTTTCTGTTAACAATGAGTGAGGATAGTATTCAAGGGATTTATGATACATTAAAAAGATGTGCACTCATTAGTAAATCAGCTGGTGGTATTGGACTCAATGTACATTGTATAAGAGCTAGGGGTACACCAATAGCTAGCACGTTTGGTGTATCGAATGGTTTGGTTCCTATGATTCGAGTATATAACAATACAGCTCGATATGTTGATCAAGGAGGAAATAAGAGACCAGGAGCATTTGCTTTGTATTTAGAACCATGGCATGCAGATATTTTCGAATTCTTAGATCTTAAAAAGAATACTGGTAAATTAATTATATATTATTGCTCGGGATCTCTGTAATTGTGTATATCTGCTCGTGTGTATCTCCGGCTCTATCTAACAGGCAAGGAGGAACATAGGGCAAGAGAGTTATTCTACGGGTTATGGGTGCCTGATCTATTTATGAAACGAGTTTTTGAAAATGGTGTATGGAGTTTAATGTGTCCACATGAATCTCCTGGGTTACATGATGTTTGGGGTGAAGAATTTGAAACGCTGTATACTAGGTATATTACGTGATTATATTAAATAATGAAATATGTAAACATTTCTTAAGTACGGAAATGTGTTATTAGATACGAAAATGAGAAAAGATACAAACGCCAAATTCAAGCCAGGGACTTATGGACAGCTATACTTGTTGCCCAAGTTGAAACAGGAACTCCTTTTATGCTTTATAAGGATCATTGCAACCGTAAATCGAATCATCAAAATATAGGAACAATTAAATGCAGTAATTTGTGTACGGAAATTGTACAATATTCTAGTCCGGATGAAGTTGCCGTATGCAATTTGGCTTCAATTGCTGTCAATATGTTTGTAAACTCTATCAATCGTACTTTCGATTTTCAAAAACTTCGAAAAGTGACGAAGATTGTTACACATAATTTGGATAAAATTA